ATTATAGTTTAACATATTATCAATCATTGGTGGCAAAATATACTATGAAAAAATTGCGGATATAAGAAGAACAGCATTCGTTTTTCCTTTTTCTTCATCATATTATACTGTTCAAGTCTGAGGGAATCTTATTTATACATTATTAAATTGAGGAAATTATTGTCCATCATTCGAATCTACTTTTTCACATTTTATTTATTCAATATTTCCGATGTATTCTGGGTGATATTTATACAGGGTGACATAGAAAAAAGTACATTGCATAGTGCCACACAATAGAGGACACTAAAATAAGGAAAAAAGTTCCTATGAACATGGGTCCGCAAGGCCTTCGGTTAAGAGATACGGGGTGTTGAATTTAATTTTTTTTAAGAATGGAAAAATGTATTGAAGTACAAGGGCAACAATTTGTACATCTTCTAAAAACTTAATGTTTTGTTCTAATCAATCATATTTTTCATCATACCATTGAAATGTAATTGTCGAAGTATTTATCATTGTTTTTGCAAAAGTTACTTTGGCGCTTTTTGAATAATTTGCGTGCATTGTCGGCTTTTAGATGCATTTGTACTGGAACCATTGCTTCTAGCGACTTGGACAAGGTATACCTTTCTTGAGTATAAAAGAAGGGATAACAATTTTTTTCCGTCGAAAATGACATACAATGTATACGAAAAAAGTTACGACCGATTCAATAGGGATGGAACCCTGTATGTAGCGCCCTCTATCAGTCATCACAAAACTAAGATCATATTTGAATTAAGCATGAAAAAAAACCCTGTATAATACATTTTATCCATTTCTTGCGTCTCTGGCTGAAGATATTCAAAGAAAACCCAACAAAAAATTTAAATTCAACACCCCATATCTTTTAACCGAAGGCCTTGCGGGCCCATGTTGATTGGAACTTTTTTTCTTATTTTAGTGTCCTCTATTGTGTAGCATATTATGCAATGTACTTTTTTCTATGTCACCCTGTAAATCCTAGGACTCCTAGAAGAAATATACGTCAGAGATTGCTGTCCTAGCGCTTTATTGGCTCTAGGTTAGGATGTATTGTGAATTTTCATGCTTCGGGTATTAGGCCTGTTCGTTGGTGCTTGCTCTACCTGCTGAACTCGATTTTTTTCTATGACTTTCTCTGTTTACATCATGCCATGAACAGAGACAACTTTGTGAGTTAGCTAGGTTTATTTTTTTTATCGCTTGAAGCGCACGAAAGGGAATCCCCATATCAAAGAACATCGTGCGTTCCTAGGGAGGATAGGGATAGGAAGTAGGTATTGGATTTTTTTTTGAACTTCTGGAGATTATATGTTGTAAGGAATACTTCCTCAGGCAATGAATTCCAGAGCCTAGCCGTTCTATGGATGAAAGAGTTTTGATAAAGTGCTGTTCGACATTTATCAAGGTTGGCAACGACAGGATGTGCTGACTGGGCTTGTCTAGTTCGTCTGACTGGTATTGCTAGTGAAGGTATGATAGCAGAGATTTCCGAAGCACATTTCCCGTGGAAGTATCGATAGAAAAGTGGAAGGTCGCCGAAATATGAACATCAGAACATACTTCACATATATTTGTCTCACATCTAGTATATCCAGGTCTTTATAGAGCTGAGTAGATAGATAAAGGTTTGGCTTGAAGGTCCTTATCTTCAATATTTTTTTTATGCTGGAAGGTGTCTGGAAAATATCGATGATAATATATATTCTACGCCAATGCCAACAGTTCGTTGAAGAGGAACCATGAAGAGGTAGAGCTAGATATCAAAAGTTTTTTAATAGCATTCAAGTGTACCGTAGAGTTGAAACTTTAGATTAACTCAGTTTTTTCCATCTCAACTTTAAAGTTTTAGTCACTTTGCTGCGAATTAAACTTATATCCAATTATGATTCAATTATATTTTTAATGATTTTCTGTCGGGTGGTGCTTGCGTTCCTAATTAATATTCTAAATGATTTTAGGAAGGGATGAAAGCTGTCACTTTCGAGGGAATAAGTTTCCGCTGTTCTTACGATCCTCGTTCATTCGTTGATCTTGCTCAATCACATTTAACACGAATGGTGTACGGGGTGGTACAGTCTCTATAGCATACAGGGTGTTTCAACGATTTTGTTTTTCATGTTTTCATAACAATATAATCAGCCAGTATATTTGCTCTTTATACGATATCCTTAATCAACAAAATATCGACCCAAATTGAGAAAAAATTCGAAAACTCGTTGTGTTAATGTGTTGACAATTTATAAAGTATCAACTTACCTACAAATACTTAATTTTTGCCTCTTTTCAAGAATCACCAAATTAATTTTGTTCATTCGATACAATACAGGCAGTCGTAGTAGTAAGTTCATAACTTCTGGATGACAAAAAACGCTATTATACAGGGTGGGACAAGGTCGATGATACCCTAGAAATTCACGGACAGCAGGACATAGGATCATTATGAAAATTTGCCCTTGGTCTATCGATCTGAAACATTATCACCTATCAACTTTCATGTTCCAAAAGTAACACCCTGCATTTCATTGAATTTTAATATTCTTTCTGGAGAGCTGTTTTCATCAATACATTTGGAGTCTAGCGTGGGTTTTGATTTTGAACACCTTATGGGATTTCTTTGTGTCGAAACTATTCATTATCGACCAAAACGGCTTTCATGTTCCTATAACTTCACTTCTGATTAACTATCTACTGACTTTGAATTGGTCCGAGATTTAGAATTATGATCACCCTGTATCATGCATGTATATGTTACCGTGAAAGACCAAAATTAGTGATTGTTGACATACACCGGTTAATGTCGACACACACCAAACAAATTGGTGGAAGACCGAACAATTATTAGTTTTGATATAAATTCGGTCTTTCAACGGTAGATGTCGACAAAAACATATTATAAGCTTTGGTCGATGTCGGAAACGACGGGTCCGTTCAATCGAAAACTTCTTCCATGATTTAATCAAAATAAATGATAACCTATTGAGTTTCATTTTGTTTTCTTTTTATACAAAATTCTTTCGAACATACACCGTGAGTATATGATGAATGTTGACAGTCGCCGGTGGAAGTTAGAAATACTAATATTATTTGATGAATATATCGGACATACGTCAAGTGAATGTTGACATTCACTGGTATATCCTGACAATCACCGGCATTCGGACTCTCACAGTAACATACACAAAATCGAATTTCGAATGGGCTTATATCACGAAAAAGAATTATTTAATAATTTGATAGAACTCACCCAAACTAGCTCACCACCGCAAACCGTTTCTTGCTGTGAGCTCCCTACGTTTTATAAAAAATTATTGAAATCCCCGATTTTTCGGACCTCTGAAAACGAGGCGATGATGTGACGTCAAAACCCTAATACTGAAACAAGACTATTCCAGACACATGATTTCTGACAGAGTGAATTAGCGCGAGATCACAGTTGAAAGAATTAATATATCAGTTGCCTCAGTCTCCGTCGGGCGTTTGGTATTTTCTTTTAATTATGGCGAGATGAGGTTTCTACGTCATAAGAGGGTCCGTTTTCAGAAGGTACTATTATTTATGTCCAAAAATAAAACATTCCAGTTAATTTTTCGATCGAATCATGCCGTCAATCATTATTTATCTATAAAAGGATCATTATAAACATGGTTTGAGTTAAAAGTTCTACTTAGGTGTACACGCCCATTATATAGTTCCTCATATCACTATTTCAGTAACAGACATCTGAAAGAGTAATTATTGAAAAATCATGACCACTAGAAACTAGAATAGACATATTATTCACCTTTCAATTCCCAAGGTATTTACCAAATAGCGCCAAATAGTCAATGTTGGAATTTGATGTCCGGATATCAGAATGAGAATCCGCCATGATTATTGAAACTGCTTCAATAGCCAATAACCTGTGTTCACCAGAATAAACCCGAATAACTTTTCTGATATACAATTTATGATTCAATGTAACCTTGAGAAAGTACTTTTTGTGAGATGCAGAGATGATTCATCTTGTATATTCCTTTTTTTTTGAGGTGGCTGAAATCCAACCGATTGGCTTGCCAAACTTTTATATATTCAACTATCCAACCTGTAGGATTAGAGTACCTGTATAGATAAACCTTAATTTCCGGATATCTACATTAAAATACAATCTACCGGATTAACATGAGAAGGTTGATAGCGAAATATTATTACCTGACAAAAAAAACTCCACAAAGTATAAGATTTCCACAAAATCAATTCCGTGGAGATCTCATCGTTTCTGAAGTTTTTTCATTGGCGGTGAATATTTTTAGGGCTAGTTGATCGTTTAGAGAAATGACAGAATTTTTGCGTTTGTTGATTTCTAATGACACAAGCTGATGGAGTTTTATCCCTTTATTCTCTACGTGGAGAATTTCGAAGTGATCACTTGAAATATCCCAAGCCTATTGATAATTTCGAAATAGTTTGTCGCTTACTTTTGACAGCTAGTTGCCTTCGGCGTCGGGCTGTTAACTAGAAGCAACTCGCTTGAGGAAATTTAAGACAGATTATGATAATTCATCAATTTTCGAGTTATATTCAGTAGGGAAATTGCTTGACTCATTCTCGACATCTTCATATTTTTATATACTTGGAGAAATTTTGAAAATTTGATTGAGCTAACGTCAAACCATGTAATTACCAACAGTAGCAATTTTGTCTGATTGGCTAATACTATTTCCGAAGACTCATTCATCCAACGAACAGCGAAGCTCTGGAACACATTGCCAAGGGAGGTGTTCCCCGAGGCATATAACCTACAGACCTTTAGGAAGAACACAAATTCGTACCTTATTTCCTTTGATCACGATGTCCTCTGAACATTACAGGATATTCCTTTTCGTAGGAACCAGAACATAAAACAAAAAAAACTTTGTCACAAATATGGAAGAAATGTTCATCAAAAATATGTTTATTCCTAATATGATCTAACATAATCAATCGAACAATCAATAATATTAATTCTTCTTGTTTAGGAATATTGGATACTGGCCAGTCCGTGAAAATCAACAGGCTACAAGTTCCCGAAGTAGCCCAATTAGGAGATCCTCTAGTTCTAGATTGCGATTACACGGTGGAAGAGTCCTTGGTGGACGGACTGGTGGTCAAGTGGTTTTTTAACGAGAAGCCGACGCCAATCTACCAGTGGATTCCGAACAAGAGGCCGCAAGAACTCGGTGAGTATGGCGCTTCATTTCGTAGTTGAGTGTGTGAAAACCATGCACTCAAAGGGTTTGTGCAGTGTGTCTAGTTCTCAATGCTTTTTGCGGGTTATCCCCGTTATCTGTTTCTCAAAAATATTCGTTCTAACCATCACAGTGGGAACACAAAGCAAGTAGTTTTGCTATGTTTAACCTTTGTAAAGAAGATGGACGAGGATGAGTTATTTTTCTACAAGCGTGCGTGATTCACCCTATACCCGCACGCATTTTAGTTTGGTAAGTGTCATTTTCCCGCAGAAGTGCGGAAAAAGTTTTTCAACACTAGTGCGGGAAAGAAATGTACATAATATTTTTGAAATATGAGTGGCAAGAGCAGAAAGCCGGTGTAGGGAGAGTGACTGCCGAATGAATACTATTGTTGTTATTATATATATATTATTTTTTAAATTCTGGTTATTGTAATTATTATTAAAATAAACATTATGATTATAATCATCATTGTAATTTCATTCAATTATTCATATATAATATTGAATTTTTTCGGATTTTTCAACTGCTATACTGTTATTTCACAGTGAAAATTCTAACCAATGTTTGCAACTTTTTGCGTACCTCTGAATGACAGTATCAGATTCTTGGAAGAAATGTTGACAACATAAATATGGACTCGGCAACAATTCTGGAGTAATGGGGAACCAATAACTTGGTAGATTTCAATGCAAACAAAACACAAGCATGCCTCTTCTCTAGAAAAGCCGATCTCACTGTGCCAAACATAAGCATGTCAGGAGTAACCATACTTTTGAAGACACCCATTTCGATGCTTGGTATTACTATCAGCAATAACCTTTCTTGGGAAAATCACGTGAGATCAATTGCTAAAAGTGCATCCCAAAAACTTGTTTCGGACCAGGACCTATTTCACTTCCAGCCAGCTGCTTATGATCTATAGATCACAGATCCGACCTGTCCTGGAATACTGTTCATATATTTGGAGTGCGGCACCCAAACAAACTCACTCACTTCTCTGGAACACCGCAAAGATGTTCATGGACGATGCTCTTCTGAATTATCAACAATTGTGCCTCCCTTGGCAGTCCCCGCGAGATTAACCCGTCGAGTTGAGGCTTCGCACCTCTTCGTGGTCACTTTGGAGACCTGCAGAACATCTCTTTCCAAAGACTCGTTCATCCAACGAACAGCGAGGCTCTGGAAAACATTGCCAATGAAGCCGAGGCATATAACCTCCAGAAATTTAAGAAGAACACCGATTCCTACCATATTTCACGATGTTTTCTGAACATTACAGGATAACCAGGCATATAACCTCCAGAAATTTAAGAAGAACACCGATTCCTACCATATTTCACGATGTTTTCTGAACATTACAGGATAACCGTTTTCGTGGGAAATGCATTCGAGGAACATGCACTGAGGAAAATTCTTATTAACCATAGTCAGAAATCGAATAACCCCAGCAAGACACTCTAATAGCATAGGGGACAAGCGAGTTATCACCTGTGATTATAAAGTCGACTTTGCTGATTATAACCCACCTGCGGTTATAAGATAATATAGAACCTTGCTGCCACTAGCGAGTGCATCTGTATATTGCTATTAGACGATGTTTCTGTAGTAGGTATCTGACTTTGCTACCGCTAGTAAGTGCATCTAATAATGGGAGTAGGGAATGTTATAATCGTAGGTAGGGAACTTTGCTACTCTTATCATATAGATAGTTGCATGACCTTCTCACTGTAGTTATTCAGTCATTTTCCAGGATTGTTGTCATCAAGAAATGTGAAATTTTGACTGATATCCAATTTCACTTCCTAATTTCCACCCTGATGTTCGATATGAATAGCAATCTGTTGATTCCTCAAGAAAATTTCGCTCCAATGATCTTCGAAATTCAATAGATCAATTGATTCATACATGCACCCTCAGGAGAAACAAAAGGTTCTCGAGTAATCGATGAAAAACAGAATTCTTCTGAAACTTTATTAAAACATTGTATTTCGAAAACTAGGCAAGCTATTACAGATGCGTACAGGAAAACAAAATGTTACCAGTAAAATCATTCAAATAATTTCATAACCTGAACATTTTTGATCACAATGAGTGTTTAGACCACATTCTATAGAGAAGCTCTGGAACATTTTAAAGTTTCATGGTACCAATAAGAGCGAAATGTTGAATGTAAAATATTTGAATTTCAGTCGAAATACCTCGAAAAAACTCACCTTTATCATTCCATTAATCCTGGTAATAACTGAAGCACTCAGATATACGGAAGCACTGGAAGGGCCACAGAAGATTTTTTTAATTTAAGATAGAACCTTGCGGTTTCTGCGGTCTTGTGCAACTTTTTTTGAGAAACTCAAGATCGTCTAATCAGATTTTGCAGAACATATTCCGACATAGAGGATTCTCCACGTATCAGGAGATTTATAAATGTCTATAGCCCGACAGTTTCAGTTATTTCCAGATGTGGCTTGTCATCTGACAACTAAGTATTCACCCAAAAAGTCTTGACGTCATTACCTTTTGTGAAAATCAAGAATCACAAATGAAAAAATCAGTTAATTTGCTCATTACAGGATTCCTCATATAAAATATATTCCACAATATATTCCAAGACCCACTATAGTTCAATAGGATGACCTTCGAATTATACATGAATAAAATAATATATTATCTTATACATCGTTGCAGCTCAGTTATCATGATGATGTATTTGCTAGATGCAATCAGTCATTACTTATTTCAACAATGTTAACAAAACTCATCACGGGAAGAATAAATTAAACGTACTGAAAATATACTTAGTGCATAATTATTCATGATCGTATAACTCAAAGATGCAAACAACTTCCATACAACTAAGTATCTAGCAGTCAACTGAAACGAAACGTAAATATTTGTGCTGAAAACTCATCAAGCACGAGAATGAAGAGTATAATGAAATTCTGATCGAAATGCAATGCTCATAGTTTGATAAAGAAAGAATACGCCTCTGTGATTGAATTTTTGTGTGTTTTGTTCGTCTCCGAAATTCACAGGAAATTTGAATAACTTTCGCAACACAGCAAACAATATGATAATTATTATTCTTAAATTGTAAGCAACTTTCAATGCAATGAACTAATTACTGGTGATTATGTGCGCTTCTCCATCCAAACACCATGTAAACTTGAAAATAATTATATAATGTGAACCTATATACAGGGTGTCCCATTGGTCATGAATCGGAAGAAGTGGAGTGGAAGGGGAAGGGGGTCATTTCCAATCAAATGAAATGTATATGTGGTTATGCAATTGTTGATGCTTTGAAAGTTATTGATGTTTTTTATTTCTATAAAAAGAATTAATTACAATGAAACTGTCACATTTGTTATTTTTCCTATTACGGATTTCATCCGCATGGATGCACCTTTTCCCAGAAATAATTTCATGTCATGTATTACTCCTTATCAATTACCTGAAAAAGGTATTGTTCCCCTTGAGTTTTGTCATCGAATGAAATATTCGAGTCGATTTTCAAATGCTGCTGGCAGATTTAAAAACAACTCCACTAAGATAACCAATCATAAGGAAAAGTTGCCCATTCAATACAATATGGGGTTATTCAGAACAGCCTTTTTGTTATTGATTTTTTCCGAATTGGTCGCATTTTCCCAAAAAATTGAATAACTTTTGAACTATCAACAATTTAATAACAACATACACAGTACTCACTTCTTTTGATCCTTTAGTCATGGGACACCCTGTATATTGGGAGAATATGCATATCTTCTCCCGTATTTCTGTAATTTACTTCTCTCATGAAGAATTATTCAAATAGCTACTGTTAAGGAATCACAGTTCTGTCTAATAGATGAGCATTATTAATGGGGAAATCAGATAGCAACAAGCCGAAGAAATAAAAAATCTCATTGTTATCTGTTACAGCCGTAGAAAAAGCACAGTCCTACACTCACGCGAAACGTATCTATCGACATAACATGTCTATGGATATGTTTCTCCTTCATTTCGAAGATTAGTGTGAGTATTACATTTTCTATATGTTGTGATTGTGGGCAAAACTTGAACAAACAATGCATCATCTAATTCGTGATCTGGTTTCTCTCTACCAGAAATACATTCGTATACTCCGGGAGATAATAAAAAACTGTGCCCATCAATATGTGTCCGGAAATACTTCCAAAACAACAGCCCTTTATAGGAAGGTCTTTCTTCAATCATCCATGTTAGCATCCATCCATGAATCACGAAATTTGGTAGCTAGGAGACCCTTTTTTAAATGAAAGTGTTTGAAGAGTCATATTCTGGTACTTAAAATAAGATAAATTGTGAAACAAGAAAAGTTGGGGCATTTTCATAGCATCGGTTACGAGTTTTACACCTCCCTGTATATCATGTTTTTTGTACTACCAAACAACTCGATAGATCAAATGACTCCTATAGGTACATAATATCGTGATTCTAGCATCAATGGTAACGAAGATACACTACACACTGTTTTACCACTAATCAAATCGATTTTTTACTCCTCGACACTTGTTTCGCTAACTATGTTAGCATCTTCAGAAGATTAAAACTGAATGCTTTATCCTAGTGGGCTTCTTATATACTAAGAATATGTCCACCCAATCGTGAATAGACAATAACAGCCAAGTCAATGTTATCCATGGTTGAGTTCACATGTTATATTACTAAACTATACAGAGGGCTAAATGGGATAGGTCATTATCCTTATTCATTACTCTATTACTATTCTGAAATATCTTTAAGCTTTCATATGCATCTAATTTCCTAACATCATCAACTTGCATAACTAATTTGTGGTTATCAATATGTGCGTTATGGTTGTGATTGATCGCTACACACGATTTATCTAACCTACCATATTCCAAATGTGCTAAGTGTCCTTTGAACCTTGTTTTTATGGGTCGCCTGGTTTGGCCTATAGATGTTTTATCACATACATCACACTGACTTTCAAAGCGTGTCTA